TGGAAAATTAAAGCAAATTTTAAAATAATACTTAAAATTGTAATAAGTCCATCACATACTAACATAAATAACTTTCTTCAGGTGGAGGCAATGCTGGGAATTGAACCCAGGGTCTTGTACGTGCTGTAAATAACATTTTAAAATGAAAAAATAATTATACTTTTCTAAAACAAAAAGTGAAATTATTTTGCATATATGAAAATACCATCATATGCTAAATGACAGATTCTTGCGTTTGCTTATGCATTCAGTAATGTTGCAAAATCCATGTCACCGATTCTTTGGCAAGTGCCACTGTAAACTTGTAAGGTATCGAGAGTGAAAAATACCTATAGCATCTTAGTTTCATTGTGTTACTGAGTTTGATTTTAAAAACCTGCTAAAAATGTTTCAGAAAACCCAGTGAGGTTCCTTGGAGACTCATTAGAAAAAAATTGAAGGGGAACCTTCAAGCAGATGTATAAATGTGGGAGACTGGGTAGTTAAAAGACTTACATTGGTGGAATTTGGTCTGTAATAAGCAATAGGGAAGCACTGAAATTTTCGTAATCAGAAAAATGAAGAAAGCTTTGCTTTTTTAGATTATTATGCACGTAATGCATAGATATTGAGAAGTTAAGCATTGTAATGGGTATTGCAAAGCAGAATATATTATACTCTCCATCTGACAAGGACAAGAGAAAGACGTGTCAGAACAATGTGAAAATTTCAAGCCTTGTGACTGGGCAGTTAGTATTCCTTTAACAGGCATTGGGAATAGAAAAAGAAGCAAATATGGGAAGAAAATAGTGAATCTAGTTTTGGAATATATATGAAGAGTTCTACATTTTTTTATTCTGAAATAATATTACAGAGAAGTTGCAAAAAAAATATGGGAGGTGCACATACATCCTTCACCTAACTTCCCCTAATAGTCACAGCTTATGTAACCACAGTACATTTATCAAAATGAGGAAAGTAACCGGGGTAATACTAAAAACTAAACTATAGACCCATATCAGGTCACATTTTTCCCCTAACTTCCTTCTTTTGTTCCAGGATCCACTTCAGGATCTCATATTGGATTTAGCTGTTGGGTCTTAGTATCTCTCCTCCAATTTGTGACAGTAACTCAGTCTCTCATTGTCTTTCAAAAAAGATTTTAATGAAATCTATATGGACAAATGACATATATATGGGCATAAAAAGCAGCATCACTTCCTCTCTTCTGAAGTGCATAAGAACCTGAATAAAAAAATCTATTTTTTTCTTTAAAAAGTTACAAATGTACCATAAAAAATTAAAACAATATTGAAGTCATAAAGTAAAAAGCACAAGCTACCCCAGAGACAGCTACCTAACAGCTTGGTGTGTACTCTGTTTTGATTTTGTGCATGTATGGTTTGTGTGTCTATTGTGAGATCATACTGGGTGTACTGTCCTGTAACTTCTGTTTTTCATTCAGATACCATGCTTCCTTAGCATCTTTCAATGTCAACAAATAAATACCCGTTCTTTTTAATGGCTACCTTCTTCTTGATAATATAACTTTTATTTTATGAGACCATTCTCTTATCGATGGCCTGCTAGGTTACTGTCAATTTTACCCAATTCTACAAGGTGCTGCACTGAATATCCTTACATATGTATTTGGTTGTCTGCAGTTATTTCTGTAAGATAAAACTGCTGAATCAATGACCCATATGCATTTTCTACTTTCATAGTTATTACCAGATTACCCTCTAATAATTTGTATCTCAGCATATGCTCCTTCAAAGAAGCTTGAGTGACGTGCTTAATTTCCCAGCAAAGCTGTGAATAGAACTATTCTAATTTGTTAACAATGGTTTGGTTGAGCAGTGGTCACGTGGGTGTTTAACTATACATCGTGCTCTCTACTTTTTCCTACAGATCACTGTTCTGCTTTTTCTTTTGTAATACACTCATAGATAAAATATATATCATTTAAAAATAATGGTTTTAAATGATTTAATCTTGGAAAAGTTCATTCACCTTAATATACAGGCATGACTATGACAAGATCTAGGCAAAAACCTGAGGGGCTCATGAAATAGTTCTTAGGAGGCTCTCTGTGAGGTGCATCTTAGATTTCAGGGTGGTGATAGAATAGGAATATGTGTTCAAGAAGTAGAGGTTTCAAGAAGAGAAGTAGAGGGATCATAATATTTTATGGATAAATTGCTAGATGTAGTGATTGTTTTTGAAGATTAGTGTTTTAGTTTGTTGATTTTCAGATTTTCAGAGATTATAATCAGAGAATATATGGCCTATTTCCTATTACCTGACATGTATCATTTCATATGACTATCGCAAGCTATGGATAAAAGTAGTAATGCTGTTTTATATGAAAAAAACTGAGATTTGGAGTGAAAAATACTATTTTCCCAAGAGTTTGTGGCATGTGAGTGGCAGCACCCAGAACTGAACCTCAAAACCTTACTTTTAATCACTGTTGTGAAATTAAAGACTGGTATCCTTTTCTTACTCCTTGACAAAAGAGGCAGCTAACTATGCTACTTAATTCTTGTTAGGAAGTGAACAAACAACACCAACTATTAAAAAACCTGCAACCACCGCTGGGGGTAGTGGCGCACACCTGTAATCTAGCACTTGGGAGGCTGAGGCGGGGTGATTGTCAGTTTGAGACCAGCCTGAGCTTACATAGTAAGTTCAAAACCAGCCTGAACTGCATATCAAGACCCTGCCTCAATAAACAAAGAAAAAACTGCCACTTAAAAAAGAAAAAGTACCAAGAAGCTCAGAAAAAGAGCATTGGACATGGAAGGGGACCTGAACATCTACCTGGCTCAGTTCTTCAGCTCATGGATCACTCTCTTTAAAAGCCTTTCTTTATCACATTCTCTTCATTTGTGTCTCTTAGAGCACTGAACTTACTGTTGTAATTACCATATTACAATGATTCTAAGGTATAGCTCTTTCTAATTTTAATATTTCTGAAGTCTAGATGCAGCTTACTGATGACTTAAAATTATTATTTTCCTCAATTTCTGATATATAAAGCAAGGGTACAATTTACAACTGCTAATACCTTGGATTTGATGAAATGCAGTATTTATTTGTATGTCTCATGAATAGCCTACACCACTTCCATAGTTTTAAGTAGCAGACATGCACAATGATTTTCTGATTTTTAGCCTCCGCCTTTTTAAAGCTCCAGTCTTCTTGTATGTTGAAATGAATTTTTTTCTTAATGTCACAGGAATTATACACTTAACATGTCTATTCTTCAAATCAGATTATCTTTCTAGTGGTTCCTGTTTTCAGTAAATGACATCTTCATCTGTGTATTTGTGAAGCTAAAATGGGAGAATTTGTACCGCCTGAGGTTGAGTTCCATTTCCATTTGTAGTAGTTATGTGAGCCTGCAGTGATGTGTGTCTCCTTTACTTTTCGTCTGTAAAGTGGAGAGGGTAACAATACCTGCCTCTGCAGATTGTTAGGATGACTAAGGCACTGAGTCATTGTTAGCTGCCACTGATCTTCATTACATCTGTCTGTGACCTTTCTCTCTGCACACGTAATTTATCACAGATCCTGTGATAGGCCCTTCAAAATTTCTCATTTTTGCTGGCCGTGTGGTGATGCACACCTGTAATCTTAGCGCTCAGAGCTAGGGCAGAAGGGTAGGAGGATCGGGGTTCAAGACCAGCCTGAGCCGCATAGAAAGTTCAACACTAGCCTGAATTATATAGCGAGACCCTGTCTCAACCCAAAACAAAAATAACAGCAAAATCTCAAACCCATCACTTTTTATGTCACTGCCTAAGTTCTCTAAGCTTCTATTTCTCTTACCTGTAATAACTAGTTACATAGCTTCTCCTTTTTTTCCATCTTTAATATCAGAACTGTCCTTTAAATCAGAGCATGCCACTTCTTAAAACCCCTGCAACCACTGGGTATGATACCTTAACTCCTTGTTGGGGTGTGTTTTGTTCTCTGTTTTCTGCCCAGCTCCTGCCTACCTCTCCAAGCTCATCTTTGCCACTCTTGTCTCACACTGTCACTCATCTCCCCCAAAACTAACACACTCAGCCCCAAAGGTTCAGTTCAGGTAGCCCTTCCTCAGAGACTGTCCTTGGCCTTCCAAACTAAGGCTCAATTACAGTTTTTTATACTGGATTTATACCTTTATATTTGAAGATAATTAGGTCCTTCCCAACTGGAATGCCAGGCCAGGACTGGCCAGCTCTAAAGCCATGTCTTTTCTGTGCTCCTTCCTTTCCTGCATTTAGGGCAGGAAAGACCATCTGAACCAATATTTGAGGGTTTAAAACATGGTCTCATTGCACTCTTCCTTGCTTTCCACATACCCTTCAGGATGTTCCTTAAACATCCATTTTCCAAGTCTTTATCTCTCTCAATAAATTGTAACCCCTTGGAAGTAGCACTTGGGTTTTTGGGTTTTTGGGTTTTGTTTTGTTTTGGTACCGGGGATCGAACTCAGGCATGGATTCCCTGAGCTAAATCCCCAGGCCAGGACTTGTTTTTATTGTTGTTTGTTTGGTACTGGTAATTGAACACAGGGCCTCACATTTGAGTTACATCAGCAGTCAGATCATTTTTTTAAAGATGATATATATATTATCTACTTAGCACTTAAAGAAAAACATTTACTATTTTAATCTTATTTATTTTTTTAATGGTTGGAGTTATTATAAAAAAGGAATTTAACATCGTCTTCTACACTCTTTTTTTTTTTCAGCTTTAATTGAGTTTATTGGTACATTTTAGGGATACAGTACAGTTACATTCATTGTTGGGATCTTGTACCTCTACATGACAAGTCTTGATTCTCATTTATACTCTTTTAATACCATCTTCCATACTCTTCAATCAGTGACTGAGTATATTTTGCTTACTTATTTTGAATAGAACTACTTAAAATAATTTAAAAGTGAAGTTAATAATCTGTTTAATGAATCATTACACCTCTTCTGTTGGAAAAGGAATTGACCTTGAGTATTTTTGCTTTCCTTCAGGAATTAAGTGACCTACAGCGTGATCCACCTGCTCACTGTTCCGCTGGACCCGTGGGAGATGACCGTAAGCTTTGCTTTAGTAGCTTTTTTGTTGTTGTTTAGTAGCTTTAAAAGTACAGGTGTGAACATTTGTGAGTGACTCTCAAACTTCTCTGTTTGTTTCAGTGTTCCACTGGCAAGCAACTATTATGGGGCCTGTAAGTATACTTCATGTATGTGACACTCATTCCCATAGCCGTACTTTATTTTGACTCTTCACCTTTATCAGTTTGTGACTGAGGAGGAATTTCCTTGCTGTCTGAAACACCTAAGGAGTAAAATACAAATAAGGGTTTCTGATGCTTCTCTAAAGCTAGGATCACTGTGTTGTTTTCCTTTGTCAGCTCCTTCATCAGTACACACAGTCATGGAGTGCCCACAATTTGCAAACAGACTGCATGACTACTTGGTTTTTTTTAAAGACACAAAGGGCCAGTCCATAACCATAGTTATTCTCATATCCCCATAGGTGAGAGAATGTGATTAGATTTTCATTGCTAGAAATGTCTAGCTCAGTAATGGAATTCCAGCAAGTAATAAGCACCAGTTTACAGTAAGTTTCATCAGTGTTCTCCCCCACCCTTCCCCTTTACTGGGGATCAAACTCGGGATCTTGGACTTGCCAGGCAGGCACGGTGCCAGTGAGCTAAATCCCTGGCCCTCATCACTGTTCTTATCTGTGAGAGAGAATTGATAAATATTGCAATGGGTTTATCTCTGATACCTTTTGAGTTTACTTTGGTAGCATTGTCTTAACCAATCATGACTGGGCTGTAATCTGTATGTCTCTCTGCCAGGTAGCTTCCAGGCAGCTTGGACCATGGGTGGTACATGTATGACTGTCCCATCAGGTGACTTTTTATTAATTTTATTAGTAAAAAGACCTATAAAAGTAATTAGCTCCATTTGTACCACGAGGTACAAGCTGCCTAATGGGACAGTCACAGATGTAGTACAGGTGGTTCAAGCCAGCAGGAATGTGTTAAACACAGAATAACCTACTGTTTTTTAACTGGCTCCTCCTAATACTTATTACCTTTGTTAACATTATTTCTCTCTACACGTGACAGTTATGACTTGAAACGGACTTTCTCTGAGCCCAAAATCTGATTGAATAAGAGTGCTCACTGTCAGCTCAAATTGCTTTCTGGGTGAGAGTACCTCAGTAACTTATTTTTATGCATACCACTCTTCCCTCCTCCCCTGAAGGAGCTTTATCTATTAAGTTATGGAGTTTTTAAGCTAATTGCCTTCTGTTTAATTTAAAAACAAAAAATGTTTACTGAGTTTCCTGGAGAGTTATCTTAGATTGCTAAATTGTTATATTAAAGAGTAAAAGAACAACATACAAGGTATATTGAAAAACAAAATGAATGCTTAAAGTTTAAAAAGGTATTACAGTAGAAGACACATTCCCATTAATCTCCCACAAAATAGAACCCCTCCATTGAACACACTTAGTTCTGGAAATCCTTTCCTAAGTGTCTTCAGTTGCACTGTCATTCCTGCTTCAGTGTCCTGAGTTGATTCAAAGCATGTGTCTTTCATGGTTATTTTGACTTTGGGGAAGAGCCAGAAGTTGCAGGTGCCAGATCGAGTGAGAAAGGTGGATGAGAACACAAAGCAGTGTTTTTACAAGCCTGCCTTTCCCTTGGATGGCACTTGCCAGCAGCATTCACCGTATTCTGATTACACCTCGTACAGACACTCACAATAGAGGACTTCCAGAACAGCTTCAGGAAGTGCAAGAATGATGGAATAAGTGTGTTCAAATAGTGGAAGGGAGGAATTTGGGGCAGGGATTAATGGCAATTTGTGCTTGTTTTTCATTATTTAGTAAGAACCTTCGAAATGTTATCATTAAAGACCTATCCTTACCATTTGAGGGCTAGCCCTTCATAAATATTTCTTATGTGAACCACATAGCAAATGATTACAGCTGTTATTCATAACCTCCCTTAAGTGCCCTGTAGAATAATTTCTATAGATAAGCAACCATATTTATCATTGTAATTTGTTCACATTTTCTACATTCCTTGTAATTTTTTATGAACTAGAATTAAACAATATATGTAGTAAGAATAATTTTACAATATAGTCCTCTCATATGTAGACAGAAACTAAAGGGAGGAAGTAATAATAGTCTTTGCTTTTATTGCCAGAATATTAATATACCAATATATTTAATTAAATATGAAGAGATTAAAATAGAATTTAAGGCATATTTTACTATCTTTGTTTTCTTTTTTAACTTGTCTCTAACTTGCAATGTTTTGAACATTTTTAAATGATCATCTTTTCTTCAGCTTTAATTGAGTTTATTGGTACATTTTAGGAATACAGTACAGTTAATTCATTGTTGGGATCTTGTACCTCTACATGACAGGTCTTGGTTCTCATTTTTTCCCCTTGTCCCTGCACTCCCTTCACCCCCTCATCCCCTCCCCATCTACACACACTTTATTTCCATTTTTTCATTTTCTCACATTTTTTCTTTTCCCTTATTACCCTTCCCCTACCCATCCCACCTTCCCTACACCTTTAGCTCCTTTCTTCCCATTTCTAAATGTCAGTAATCTTATTAGGATCTTCTGTATTATTGCAGATTATTCACATCACAGAAACTATTCGGTATTTACACGTGTGCCTTATTTATTTCACTTAGGAGTATATAAATGGTCATTTTTAAAATGACAAAGTTTAAATCTTTTCTCTAAAGTTGATTTCTTATTTGATAGTACTATGAATATTGAATTTACTTAATTTGGGAATTCTTTGTATTTTCTACATTATCTCATAAAATGTTATTAAATGAGTTGAGAGATAAATTAGGTGTCATTTAGCCATTTCTTTTGCTAAATTGTGCCTCTATTCTTGGACCTGATGTGACAATCAGAATTTAAGGTTTATAAGTGAAAAGGTAAGTACAGTACTTGCCAGGACCCTTTATTTATACTGATTACTGCTACAGAAAATTATCTTTTCTCAAAGCAGTCTTCACATGTACTGATCCTAAAAATTTTGTACTCATGAACAGCTTTGTATAGGCAAATCACACCACTGTGTGTGTTTTTGTTTTGCTTTAAACTTTATGGTGGCATGATTGTTGGAAAATCCTTCATACCTGCGAAGGGATGCTTGTTCTCAAGGTAAAGGATTTGAACTCATGACTCAATGATTGTATTATTATCAAACTGTTAATATTTGATAAGAGCATTTAAAATATGGTATTTTTTTCAAGCACAATATTTGGGAAAATCATTTCAGCTGTTAAATAAATTCAATAATCAAACATTGATACACAATTGTTTTGTTATTTCAGCCTGATAGCGCATATCAAGGTGGAGTCTTCTTTCTCACTGTACATTTTCCGACAGACTATCCTTTTAAACCACCAAAGGTATTTTATTTTTGTGATTGATGGGACTCCCATGTCAGGGATTTTACTCTTTTTCCAGAGATGATTTCATGATGTCAAAACCGTGGGTACGTTTAACATGCTCAAACTGTTCTATAAAACTGGTAAACCAGAAATATGCTTTCTTGCTCAAATACTTGTAGCATTTTTTGTAAAACAAAAGACCAATCTACTGTACAATTAGTGTCTTGCCTTTTAAAAAATTTAGATGTAGGTAGTTAGGGAAGTTTTTATAGTCAGGAATTAAATCCCTTTTCTATACAAGGGATTATCTTTCCAAAGTTGACCTTTTCTTTTAAAGTATTCAATAAACATTCATTGAGCACCTACTCTGTCCGGCTACAGTGGAGGATACAAAAGTAAAGATGTCACAGTCTTTCATTTAATGTGTGGGAGAGATAAGAACATATTCTTATTAGATTTAATGACCTGTAAAGATTTAGGAAGCAAATGTTGGGGATACCAAGGAAGAAAAGAATGAATAGATCTGTCACTCAGGAATAATTATGTTAGATTTTTTTAGAAACACCTGATTAAGATCATATGTATGACATATGACAACAGCACATATGACAACAGTTCCTGGGGAAAATTAGGAATCTTAGTAGATTTCTTAGGACAAACAACAATCTGAGGCCTCTCAACTTTTCCCTGAAACAGGGTCAACACCCTGTTTTTAGCGCCAGTTGGCGCTTGCAGGTCTAACTGATAATCAGATGAAGAAAGGGACTGCTTTGATGTGTGATGAAAACCAAGTTAATGGTTCCAGGTGCCACTCAGCCAGTCATACCAGCAGTGTAGACTTTCTTATTTCACACCCAAAATACTTCTCAGTTCTTTGAATAGGAAACAGGGAAACAGAGTCATTTACTTTTAAATATTCAGAACTACTTAAAACCCAAAGCATAAATGTATTTCTCCTCTAAGGCTTTGTAAAGTTGAAGATGTTTTGCCCTAGAGCAAATTTATTCTATTATGTTCTTAATTCATGTACTATCACTGTTTTGCTGTTTTGTTTTTATATTTAGATTGCTTTCACAACAAAAATTTATCATCCAAATATAAACAGTAATGGAAGTATTTGTCTTGATATCCTGAGGTCACAGTGGTCACCAGCTTTGACTGTATCAAAAGGTAATATCATCTGTCCAATGTAGAACCATTGATAATAACAAGACAAGAAAAATGCAGTACAAGTATCTAGAGACCAGTGTTTTTAAAAGACCAATCTACTGTACTTTCTCCTGTTTTAATTTTTTTTTCTCTTATATTACTTTGGCTTTTACAGTTAGCTTTTGGGAGGTGTGGGGTGTGGTTGGGCAAATGTAAATGATAAAATGAGAAGAGATTTAAAATGTTAGAACAAGAAACTTGAAACTAACCCTATTGACAATTATCCTTTTAGCTTGGGTTTTGTGTTTTCAAAAAAAGAAAGAGATAGTATTAAAAAGATTTGGGATCCAGTTGTCCCATTCATTGACAGTGATGAGCAAAACTCTATAGCTGTTTTACTTCACCAAAAAAAGCAAAACAGATTTGGCTGGTAAAAGTTTAGAAAGGAAAGACATACAGTATTTTATACTTCAGAATAATACAGTAAGATGGGATGTTAGTGTAAATTTTAAATTATTAATAGTGTCATTATAATGACTGATACATAATCCAAGCCAAATCTCAAGTTTCACAAATGTATTGTTTGCTAAATTGTCAGTTCTATGCATTCAGAAGCCAATTTTATTTTATTAGGCAAAACTACTGTGCCATCACTCTTTGTGTCTCACTTCTTTGATACAAGAAAGTCTGCCAGTTGAAAAAATACAGTTGGGGTTAGAAGTATCTGCCCCTGAAGTAACCACTCTATTTTCCCTTTTTATATAATTCAGGAAGATTATTCTTTTGAAGGATTAATGGGAAGAATCTGTGGTCATTTCTTAATTTTTTAAATAAATGTTTACCTGACTATATAACTTTTTTAAATGATGAAGTTTATATGAAGCAGGATTCACAGCCACAACCATTTCAAGTATTAGGTAAATGATAAGCTTTCAGGACAGTTATTTAAAACTGGAAGTTTTCTGACCTAAAATGTTCATATAGATTCTAGTTTCCTTTTTTTAAATCTTTCACCCAGTGAATCTGTTGTGCAATAAGGAAAGATTCTGTGGGAAATGGTGTTCAAATTAGTGTACTCTTTCCTGGAATGGTGTCACAAAATGAATGTCATTTGACATGAACAGTCAAGTCCTTATCATTTAAAAGAAATGGCAGACTACCAGATGCTGGCTGATTATATCTTCTGACATTGGTAGCTTTTTTTTTTTTTCTCATTGAGTTTATTGGTACATTTTAGTCATACGGTACCGTTACATTCATTATTGGGATCTTGTGCCTTTACATGACAGGTCTTGGTTCTCATTTTTCCCCCTTGTCCCTGCCCTCCCTTCACCCCTTCCTCCCCTCCTTATTTACAAACATTTTATTTACATTTTTTCATTTTCTCCTGTTTTTTTCCTTTCCCTTATTACCTTTCCCCTCCTTCCCACTTTCCCTATACCTTTAACCCTTTTTTTACAAAAAATAATGTGTCCTTGGCTTCTGGAAACTGTCCTTTAGGAATTTAAACAGCCTCAGTTTCCTCATATGTAAAATGGAATTATGGTAGTTCTAACAGTGGACCCTTGAGTTAAAACTGCCCTGACATACAAACAACTTGGGTTACGACTTGCATTTTGGTTTTAACTTGCAACCAAAGCCTTGAGTTACAACCTGAATGCTGGCTGTCTGTGCTTCCAGATGGTCTCAGATACAGATTTAACCCTTAATGAGTACTGGAGGGAACATACAACATCCTTTCTTGTGTGGGTTTCATTGAGAAATCCTGGGCCAGTGTCTCTCTAAGAACACTGAGATCTGCCTGTGTACAGGAGACAGACTTTGAAGTCTGTGTAGAGAAACCTGACCAACTTGAGTTACAACTAGCCCTCACAAACAAATTGAGTTCGTAAGACCAGGGTCCACTGTACTATATACTTAGGGTCACCCTACATCTGACACATAGTGAGCACTCAGGTCAATGTTAACTGCTACTTATTTCTTTATCTTAATCATTTGGCTTATTTTCATGATAGTAATATCAGGGCAAAAAGCTCATAGCAGGAGTGGGGAGATGAGGAATTTCATGCTTGCATGGGCAGCTCAGACCTCACTCATTTATTTGTTCTTTTTCACTTAATTCAAATGTATTATTTTGGTTTTTATCATGAGTTTAGTTTGAAAGCATTCTGAAGCTATAAGTGAGCCCAGAAAATCTACCTTGTCAGTTTAATATACAAAGCTTCAAGTTTTATTGGACAGATGGGAGGTGAAATATTTATTTTTTCCTTGGTCCTTGGCACCATTCCCCTTTCTTCCTTACTTGTATTAGGGATTGAAACCAGGGCCTCGAGTATGCTAGCTAGTTGAGTGTTGTACCACTGGACCACACTTATTTATGAGTAACTCCTGCTCTAGAAGTTCACCTTTGAACTGGAAAGAGTAAGAAAAGACAAAAGACTGTAGTATTGGGGGAGAAGGTGGAAATGGAAGTTGTTTCAGAGGTTCTGTGTACCCCTCAGAAGTAGTCATATGCTTGCAAAAGAGAAAAACAGGACCAGAGCCTTTGTTCTCTCCTGTTGCAGATAAGAGTATAGCTATTTCCATCAGTATTTTCACATAGGATAACAAGTGTTTTTCAATTTTTGTTTATATTTTTTAATATACAAGTTATGTAATGATCACATTATTTTTAAATGCATGTATTACAAATAAAGTACATAGAATAAAGGATCACTTTTTTAAAACTTTACAAATCTTCCTTTTTGTTAAATAGTGTATACTTAACTAAAGTAAAATGGCACATGAGCTCAATGTCAAAAATGTTTTGAACTGTTATAATTTGATTGTTTTGTAGAGCATTCTTCAATTGAAAGGTTGTTAATAACTACGTTGGAGGCTCACGTTTTTTAAATAAAAAATTCAAATGGAGTTTGAAACTTCAAAGGGAATATTTTCTCATCTATTTTATGATTTTATAATTTTGAAAATCAATGATATTAGCTACAAAAGTTGGTATAAAATGTAATAAATGTAATTTGATGTTTTCATTTTATTTTTTGTTACAAGTTCAGTGCCTATATAATAAAATTATTTTCATGTATAAAACTTTTATAAAATAGAAGGATCATCTAATACAGTGTTCTCTTTTAAATCTAGTTTTATTGTCCATATGTTCTCTACTTTGTGATCCTAATCCAGATGACCCCTTAGTACCAGATATTGCACAAATCTATAAATCAGACAAAGAAAAGTAAGTGCTTACTTCCATTAGTTTCCATTTGGGTATATCTCTGTTCAGTCTGCCAAGACATGGATATTATCCATATATTTTTAAGTGCCTTTCTTTTTAAGCTCAATCTTTATGGAAAACAATTTTTTCCATTTATTGTTTAGTAGTACCTGTTTGATATTTGTACAATATCTGTACATAATTCTAGGCAGTAGATTAACAATGAAAGAATTTAGTGATTGGAGAGGATTATATATCGAATTCTCTGTCTTCTCCTGGGAAGGGAATTTAGTTCTTTACCCACTTGGACCGACCTTACTTTCAAGCTGCCTGAAAACTACTTGACCATAGGTTTATTTGCATTTTGCAGATAATATTCAGACTTGGCTTATGGATTGGTATTACAAGTTGGTCTCCATGTTTTGTTTTTTATATTTTAGGTACATTTTCATATGGCTCATTAGAAAATTCATGAGTTAAAAAAATAATTTGTTTTCTGTTTCATCTATGCATGAGTCTTTGTCGTACTGACTCAATAATTTGTATAGGTATGGTTATTGCAAGTAAGCATGAGAAAGACTGGGTGTGACAGTGCATGCCTATAATCTCAGCTGCTTGAGAGGCTGAGGCAAGACAATTAAGTTCAAGGTCAACTGGGCAACATGAGTCTCCATTTAAAAAAAAAATCAAAGCATGAGAAGGTAGAATATATAGTTCTCTTAGACAATGCTTACAAAAGATGAGATTTGTATGTTTTACTATATTCCTTTGTATGCCTACAGATACAACAGACATGCAAGAGAATGGACTCAGAAATATGCAATGTAAAATCAAAAAAACCTTTTCATATATAACAGTACTGTAAAATCTAGATTTTTTTTCAACATTAACAGTAAATTGAGCGCTGTTTACTGTTTCGTTGTACCATGAAACCCTTTGATTTTTACCCATTTTAAATGTGTTTCTGAAGCAAGACAAAAATTTCCAAAAATACCCTTAAGACTGTGATGAGAGCATTTATCATTTTGTATGCATTGAGAAAGACATTTATCATGGTTTTTAAGAAACTTGGACATCTGCATCTTCAGCTTACAAGATCTACAAAGCAGCTGAAAAGCAACCAAATTATTTTTTGCTGAAACTAGATGTTTTTACATGAGAAATACTGTATGTGTTGTCTGAGATGTCGTCACTTTTATAAATCTGTATTCAGATTTCATTCTTTGTTAGCTCACTTTATAATTTGTATTTTTTTACTGTATAGACTAAATATATTCTATTTACATGTATGTCAATTCGTTATGTTTTTCCTGTGAACAGTATTGAAAAACCCCAACAGCTGATAATTAAATGAATTAACTGTGTCTCTCTTGTCTTAGGATATTCTGTAGACTGATTGCAGATTTCTTAAACCTGAATGATCTTTACACTGTAATCCTCAGTATACTGATTATGGAGAAACACTTGTTTTGATTTTGTTATACTTGACTTAACTTTATTGCAATGTGAATTAATTGCACTGCTAAGTAGGAAGATGTGTAACTTTTATTTGTTGCTATTCATTTCACATTTGAATTTTTTTCTGTATAGGCAATATTATATTGACACCTTTTACAGATCTTACTGTAGCTTTTTCCATATAAATAAAATGCTTTTTCTACTATTTGTCTTGATTACTTAAATAAACAAAAATTACTTTATCTGTAACTAAGGATCAAAACTCTATGAAATTCTGCATGTAATTTGTTTCCAAAGTGTGAAAATGAGGTCTACTATATTTGGTATTAATCACCATTACTACTTATATATAAATTTGTTCTAGATTAGCATCTCTTTACTAAATTGTCTGTCTGTAAGATGATTTACCTTGGTCCCTTGCTATAGATAAGAATTTAAAAGAAGTCAGGGTTTCTTTTGGCTCACATCTAAGATGGATTATTTGCAGAAATACATTTCTTAACATTTTAAAATCTAGAATTTCTAAAATAGAATACCATCTGAATTTGAAAAAAAAAATCCATATTTTACTATAGAAGTTACCAAAAAAAAATTTTAAATGATGCTTCCCTCTGTTTTTATAAATTGATAGCTAAAAATAATTTAAATAAGCAAGTTGTCTTTCTAGATTTTAAAGAAACAAAGTTCTAATGTTTTAGCTTGGAAAAATACATACATTTAGTGTTTAGCATGTATATCAAACTTAAGTGTATCATGGTTAAGTATAGTTGTAACTTTTCTGATTAATGCACTAGCTATAAGTGTGCAAGAATCTGTGATGGGTGTAGTTATTAGCAAAACATTTAAGTTACTTGATTCTTTTATCTTGTTCAGTATTACTAAAACACAAAATAACTTGTTAGAAAATACCTTTATGAATGAATGTAAAATAATTACAAAGTTGTAAAATGAATGTTTAAGAAAATATAGGCTTTAAAAAGTAACTATATTAAGTGATGTCTTAAAACAACCATATCATGAAAAACTTACTTTACTAGCTATATTATTTATTATAAGCTACAGTTGCCCTGAATTTGAACACTCAGTATCAGTAAATTTTAAGGCTGTAATACATTTTGATAGTAGAGGGTTTTGTTTCTTGAGTATCTTTCACTTATTTTTTGAAACTTCAATTTGTTGGCATATATTTTTAGAAATGTCTTTCCCCTTGTATTAAAGTTTTTGAAACCTGCTTAACTCTTGTTTGCCTTTGCTTACATCTGAATTGTACAGTCAGATTACTAAGGATGAGCTCTCATAATGAACTAAAAATTTTAAGTTAATTGGCATAATGATCAGTCAGATCACTGTACTGTGTATATTAGTTTTGCTTAGTTCTAAGAAAGAGAACACAATTTACTTTTTAGAACTAAATTCAAAACCAGCAGCCTTTTAGTAAAGTAAGCATTAATTTAAGGACCTTCTTAGTATTTAAAATGGATAGGCTTGGTTTTTCTAGGCATAGCTGAAAACCATATTCAAATTGGACTCTGCATATTTGTAAATGCCCCATGTGATAAATCGGTGATGTACAAACAGACCCCAAAGACAGCCCTATGAATTAGTCAAAGGAGTTACCTTAAAAAGTAATGAGCCGGGGATTTAGCTCAGTGGTTCCGCTGCCTGCCTTTCAAGCGCAAGGGCCCAGAGTTTGATTCCGGGTACAAAAAAAAAAAAAAAAAAAAAAAAAAAAAAAAAAGGGAATGAATGGTAATAGTAGCATGTTGTAGTATTACAGTTCTCTTACTTTATCACAGCAAGGGATGAAACCTAGGGCTTTCTACATGCTAGGTGAGCACTCTACTATTGAGCTATACCTTAACCCCTGTCCTGTGTGTTTTTAAAAATAGGAATATTCTCATATTAAGAGTTTTTGGTCATGAAGCTATTTGTATGTCTGTTCATTGGTAGTCTGAACTGGACCCAGTCTAGTCGAGTTGATGTTTTAAGATTTGTGTTTTGTAGAATCATGAGTCCTGTAACTCATTCTTTTCCAAACCAAAGAAAACGTGATAAATGCTTTAGCATGGCCATATATGTAAAGTTTTAGTGTGTTTAAATTGTGAACAATACTTTTTGTCTTTTTAGTTTGTATAAATGTTTTAAATGGTTATTAATATACAAATAATCTGAATTAAAAAATATTTAGTTCTATCACTCAGTTGTAATCTAAGATTTTCAGTTTCTTTTTCTTTAAGGCATATGAGACACAATTTAATAGCCCTAAAATATAATGCAAGCAACAGGCATGGTGTTGTATGATGTGGGAGGAACACAAGTTTGATTTCAGACTAGGCAATTCAGGGAGACCCTGTCTTAAAATTTAAAAAGGCTGAGGATGTACTGTAGCTCAATGTGAAGGCCCTGAGTTCAATTACAATACTGAAAAGGAAAATGCAGACTATTAATGATATGTCCTGTCTTTCCCTCCCTCCCTCGTGCTCTCTGCTTCCCTTCCTCCCTTTATCCCTCCCTCTCCTCGCTTGTTTTGTTTTATTCTTTTTGTTCATTTTGTCTACTATTGAGCAGCACCCTAGTCCTCTCATTTTTTACAGTGCTTTTTTCATCCTCATAATTACATTTTACACATAAGGCAGTGGGGTAGAGATTCATCCAATTTCATTTGTAAAAATTGCTATATCTAACTAATCATTACTTTTTCACACCGAATGTCTATAAGCTCTTTTTTAACTTTGTAACTGATATATTCTCACCAGTTTTTCCAGTGGTAACAAATGTTTCTAGTTGGGCCAGCATAGCAGGCATAGCTTTATTTATCACTTAGGGAAGATTTTAAAATCCCAGTTCCTGGATGTCAGCCAAAAGCAAACCTTGTAAACAGGACTTTTGAAAGATCAAATTGATATACAAATTTATTGAAAAGACTTCTTTTTGTTCAAATGGTCTTAGTCCCTTTTTTTTTGTACTGGGGATCAAACTCAGGACCTTGCACTTGTGAGGCGGGCAGCAGCATCACTGAGCCAAATCCCTGGCCCTCTTGGTGCCATTTTTGAAAATCAACTGACCATGGAGGTTTATTTCTTGATTCTGCCCATCAATGCATATGTCTTCAGCTACTGCCGCAGTGTTCTGACTAGTGTAGCTTTGTGGTAACTCTTTAAATGAGGTAGTATGAGTCCTCTAACTTTGTTCTTTTACATTATTGGTTTGACATAGTCCCTTGTAACTTCATACACATTTAGAAATCTGCTTTTCCATTTTTCCTGCTGAGATTCCGATTGGTATTGTATTGAATCTCTAATGTTAACATGTTTGGGTTGTGGTTATCTGATTGCCAAATGACAAATCACCCCAAATTTAAGTGTTATAAAAGATCAATCATTTTATTATGCTCATGGATTCTGCTGATCAGGAATTGGGATGGGGGATGATAGGAATTACTTAGCTGTGGGTGTGATGCTTAGGTTCCCAGCAGGGAGTGCCTTACATAGTGTGGAATTTAACCACTCATGTTGGTACCTGGGCAAGTATATAGGGTACTGGAGCCTTTATTCATGGCCTTTTTTGTGGCTGGCTTGAGCATCTTACACTAGGACAGGCCACTCAGTTCCAAAAGGGAACATCTGGAGAGCAAGTATTTCAAGATAATGAGTAATAAGCTTCATGACCTTTTATGATCTAGCCTTTGAAGTTCCATAATGTCACTTATACTACAACTTACTGGTTGAATCAGCCAGAAGCTCACTCAAATTCAGAGGGAGAGGTTACAGATCTCCATTTTTCCATGAGAAAGAATTTGGGGTCAACACCACACTTATGAATCATTCCATAAGTATATATGATTCACTGGGCTTGTCATTTTTAATTTGTATTTATAAGTATTTAATTTGTATTTTTAAGTATTTTATAGTATAATTTAATTCTTTTGTAGTTGTGGAGATTTCACATATCTTTAATTATATTCATTCCTAAGTATACCATTTTTAAACCTGTTATTTTGTCTCATACTTCTGTATCCTTGATAAATAGAAAAACAAATTACAGTATGCAGCTTTTACCTTATAAACTTACTAAATGTACTTAATAAAAGGTTGTAGAATTTTTAAGTTTTTACCCTTTTAATCATGTTACCTCCAAACAGTGATATTATTTTATTTCCAATCTATATGCCATATTTCTTTCCTTTCTTTGTTGCATTAGCTTGAGTTCCGGTAACATGCTGAGTAGAAACAGAGATAGCAAACATCGTTTGTTGATTTCCAAAGGAAAGCTTTTGTTATTTCAATATTAAGTGTGATGTTTCCTTATATTAAAGAAGTTTGGGCTGCAGATGTAGTTCAGTGGTAGAGCACTGCCTAACATGTACAGGACCTAGGTTCAATCTCCAGCACCAAGAAAGAAAAACATTAAGGAACTTCCCTTCTGTTCCTAGATTAGTAAGCATTTTTATCACTGAGTTACTAGGTGAATTCAATGGTTTTTCTTTATATCAACATTTTTACTGTATTTTTATCTTTTTCCACAATTAATGTACCATAAGTTACATTAACTGATGTTTACACATTAAAAACCCTTGAATTTCTGAATAAAATCCATTTTGAGAAATATCCTCTACGAATCACTGAGTTCTATTTGAATTGTTTGCTGAGGATTTTTGCAACTATTCTCACAAAAGAAGTAGGTCTATAATTTTTTTGGTTGTGTATGCCATATCTCAAATTATGCTGGCCCCATAAAAACACTTGAGGAGGGCCAGGAATTTAGCTCAGTGGTGCCACTGCCTCCCTTGCAAGTGCAAGGTTCCAAGTTCGATCCCTGGTGCAAAAAAACAAAAACAAAAAAAACACTTGAGCATTTCCTCTTTATCGTGTAGCAGAGTTTCTGCTATTTTTCCCCTGAAATATTCTAAAGACTATTCTATGTTTTCAGTTTTGTTGTTTCGTTTTACCTAGAGTTATAGGGAAATTTTAATAAATTCTATGTATTTACTATGTATAGAATAGGTGTATTTTGTTACACTTGATTTTTGTGTTTTGGGGGGTTTATTTTTTGTTGTTTTTTTGTTTGTTTGTTTGTTTAAACTGGGAGTAGTGGTGCATGCCTGTAATCCCAGGACTCAGGAGGCTGAGGCAGGAGGATTGTTGTGAGTTCAAGACCAACCTGAACTAGCAAGACTCTTACCTCAAAAACACCAAAAAAAAAAGCAAAAAAAAATTGTTTTTCAAAGAATTTGTTTTATGTTATCTGTCTTTTTGCATAGAGTTGTTCATGAGGTTAATTTTCTGTAATATATTCTTCCATTAAAAATTTTTTTTGTCTTGATTAGTCCTTTTAGGGAACTATCAGTTTTATTAATTGTTCAAAGAATCTGTGTTTGTGGGTTTGGGGTTTTTTATGTTTGTTACTATTTTGTTTAAATGGGGTGTTGCTAAATAGCTCAGGCTGGCCTTGAAATCATGATCTGTTAATAAGTGCAGTATTTGAGATGCCAGTTAGATCA